ATTTCAATGCATTTTCGGCCTTAAAATGGCCGCTATTCGGCTATCGTTAATCGGATCATGAAGAAAATGCATGTGCATATGTCCCATATAATGTGTGATGTATTAGTGAAGTTTGAACTCAATCGGTCCATGCATGTTCGAGATACAGGTGATCACGGACGCACGGACGCACGCACACAGGGCAAAACATAAGTCCCCGTTTTCGGACTGCGTCCGAACGGGGACTAAAAATTTACGACGACAGCGACGGACAATCTGTAATATGAACAGCTTTGCTGAGTCGACATTGTCGACAGCGGAGCTAAAAAATTGATGCACATCTCATACTGAGCAGAAACAAATTATTTATTTTATCTGACCTAACCTCTAATAAGTGTGAGTAATTTGAAATTCAATAGGAGTTGCAGTTCCTCAATATCATTACACATTTGCGCCATAGAGGGAGTACTGTTATTGATAAATGTAATAAATGATGACTTGAAACACAGACTTATTTGGTCATACTTACTTCAATTACTCCCGTTTCTGTTGTCTCAAAATTAAGATTCTTTACAAACAATGTACATCCTTCTTCAATTTCATCTTCTGATGACGACTCTTCATCTTCCTGCTCTGTAACATCCTCTTTTTTCCCTTCCTGTCAACAGAAGAAATAGAAAAATGTAAATTTCAAAAAAACCTATAATATTTGTTTAGATTAAATGCAGTTTTAAAACAATTTGGAAACAAGAAAAAGAAAGAGGAACCGATGGTTTTTACTTTCCATATAAAGTTAAAACAAACATGAATGCCTCAGCAAGGTATATCAAACTCTAAACAAATTGATGAAAAAAATGTGATGAGAATTGAATTGCATACCGTTGTGCTCTGTTCTTTATCAGATGCCATCAGTTCATCTTTGATTCCTTCTTTCTTTTCAGCTGGTGTCGTGAAGATACCTACCGGAGCCCACTCTAGATAGAGAGGTACATGCTGAAACTGCGACAGAAGAAAATCTATGTCAACAATGCAACAGCAATTGCATGCATTTATTTTCAGAGATGAAATTCTCAAAACTTCTCAAAAGTTCTAGACTCTGATGTAATACATGGTTTGTTTAATAAAGACAGCCACTATACAATTCATAC